CACCCCGCAGGACAGTGTTTTTTTTTTTGAAAAGGGTGGGGACGGGGCGGGAGATGGGGCAGCGAGGGGAGCTGAGGAACTACCAAGATATCCCCAGTTTTCCTCCCCCTCCTAGCAAGAAAAATGCTGTTAAGCGGGGATATCGAGCGAGCTTGAAACAGGGAAAACCGAGAGAAGCCTACATACGTAAACCTTTTTCTCTAGAGCGATTATGACCCCCAGCGACCAAATACGACCCCTTCGCTGAGATCCCCAATAGGCCCTGAACGGGGAAAGGGGCGAGGGAGTATATCGTGCAAAAAAAACAGGAAGAACCAATAATCGGAAAAATCCTTGGATATGAACCACAGTCCCCCTTCCCAATAGCTGAATACGCCCCCTTCCACTCCGCTCCTCGGAGTTTCGATAACGATGATGTGCCTTGGTAGAGTATTGAGCAGGTTGTGCCTTCTGCCAATGAAAAATGAAAAGAGCGCAACCAGTTCTTGCTTGGAGCTGGAGGAATGTGAACCAACAATCACAAACATTATCAAAAACTCATATTCATAGTGAAAACATACACACAAAGTCACAGTCAAATATTGCAGTGTCAGTGTTACCTCGAAAACAAAGACATTATACGGCAGTATGTGAGATTCATGCTCAAAGTGACTACACGGATACTGTAGACGGCCAAAAAGATCTACACGAGGGCCAAAAAGACCTACATGGAAGCGCTCGTCACCTTTATGACAGCGACTTCGAGAACTCCAATTTCAATCACAGTATTCTTCTCGAAAAGGAATAAAGCCATGATTGAACAGCCTCTTTACCAAAATACGATCCAAATAGTCACTTTTCGCATAATTCAGACATATATAAAGAAAGAATGGAAATCGAACAGAGTAGGAACCGTGCGCGCGAATGCAGTCAATCAATTTGTACATACATAAACGATTAGAAACTTATTAGAAATATCTGTGGTATACAATATACAAGAAACACAAATCAATGCGATATGGATATATGATAATGGATAAATGCCTAAATCGAGGAATGTGAGTTGATTTGGTCAAGGCAAGTGAGAGACAGACAATAAGAGGATGATACAAACAGACATTTGCAGCACGATAATAAAGCACTTGATTGAGACTGACTCGGGAATATCCATTCATATTTCCGATTTATAAATTAAAAAAAATAATAAGGCATGCGGCTAACAGAAAACACAATAACAACACACACATAGCATATATAACCCGTGTGGATGGCTCAAAATGCCAACACATATCGATATCGAAGAAGGACGTAAATGAACGGATGAATATGCTTTACCTAGTACCATTATCGATCCATAAATGGAAAGCCGTCAAATCAAAGTGCAAATTCACACTCTTTTACAGAACATACTGCAGTGTTACTGGTTAGCAGCACACCTATAGTTCACATCGTCCGGCTAGTTGCACTTGTTTCTGCCATCTCAGAGTGAGGTTGTGGTGCGAAACAACAACTGGCTATGCCGCGACGCAACCGCACGCATCTTATCCTCCACAAACACAACTTGCAGGAAAATGTGGACCAAATTATGGAATGTTAGAAGACACGTCTGAGTGATCATGATAAGACTATAAAAGCATATTAGACGGCATGGCAAGCACCCAGAAGAAGTTTTCTCGCCAGAAAACCACCTTACCACATGGGGTTCTTCTGCAGCTGCTCACCATCACCGAATGTGTTAAAATGCAATAATGATAGTAAGACCGTTAGAATTGTAAAAAGCTTAAATCACTGGTATTCAGAAAGATTGTAAAGACATTATTTAGGGATCAATAGAGAACAACTCTTTATAGAGAGCCGGTAAACCGGCTTCGGTTTCGACCGGGAACTGTGCTCGTAGTTGTCCGAGCAGAATCAAGTGAAGGTGAGCGGTCTGTTTCAGCCTTGGTAGGGTATCCCAAACCCTCTGAGCGTCACTGCCAACACGAGCGGCTAATGATTGGGCGAGTACGCCTCGAAGACGTTCACATGTTGCTTGTTCAGTGGATGCTGGTTCAAGCAGAAGAACTGCACAAAGCAGAGCAACTTCTGATGACGTCATTTGGCAGACTGCCAGATCATGCAAGCATTGGTGGAATTCTTGCACGAAACGCACCTAGAAATAATAAAGTTAGAAATGAATTATTCATCGGATTTTCGAAATTTGGAGAATGAGTTGTACTTCGTCGTTTTTGTTATTTAGAGCTAGTTGCAAGAGCTCAGTTTAAGGTTGTGACGTGTAGCGCACACACGATGGCAATACCACACGAATTTGCACGCACTAGTTTCTCGAAGCAGACCGAACTCGAGGTTGGGG